ATCATCAGATTTCTCTCCAGAGCCTTTGGGCGGGAAATCTTAGTTTGCGAGACCCGACAGTGACAGGATTTTCATCTAAAGCTAGATAGCTATATCGATTTCAGCCGCAGTCGGGATATTTCTAGCGGCCGGCTGCTCTGATCGGCAGTTTTCCGCGGTTTATCCAATTAAGTACTAGCCGAACGCCGGAGCAGTACCTAACAAACGTGCCACGGACCGCGCGCGATCTTCCCTTCCCCTTCTTTATCCGATCCACATCCCTAACTTGCATACACATTTACATGCTCTGCACTACCACATGTCGGGAGCTTAGTGCGTATCCCGAATGAGGCAGTGCCCCGCTTGAGGAGATACGTTGGGTAGGGAAACCGAAACTCGCCGTCCAGCGCGGCGCCGGATCTCACTGTCCAGTAGGAAAAACTTCCCGCAACCTCACCATAAAAGCATGCATTACACTTACGGGTCTAATTGCCAGTTGACGCCTCCCGAAACACGAAACGACCAGGATCATGTTTGCAGTTTGACCAGCTTTTGAGAGCTTGACTCCAATGTTCGACTGTGCATCACGAGCGTCGATATTTGAGTGCTGACCACCGGGAATCACCTTGCAACGAGTCTGGACGTGGAAGTGGATAAAGTAGGGTGAAGTGTGATGACTGGAAGGGTGATGTGGGACTTGGGAAAGAACGGTGAAGCAAGATGGGGGGAAGGAAAGGTGAAGTGAAACGGGGCAAGGACAGGTGAATTGAGACGGGGCAAAGAAGGGTGAATTGAGACGGGGCAAGAAAGGGTCAATTGAGACGGTACGACCCCGCACTCGCATTCTTATGTATCAGCAGTTAACTAGAAGACCTTTGAATTGTTTTCGTACTCGTACCTGGACTTTTTTTGGATTCGGCATTGCATTCTGTATAATGACCTGGCTACTATTTTTGCATCTCCTGGCTATTGTAGCCGTTGGCAACGTAAAAGGGCTAATTCTTTGATATTTTGTTGCGAAATAAAATTGTTGTTCTGGATATTTGATCCTGTTTGATTAAGTATCATTGTTTTCCATACAATGCAAATCAAAGTAAACTAGTGAAATAAAGAACTCGGAGAAGATAAGGTGTAGCTAGCATGAAAGAATTGTCAATAAATTTTTATCAAATTCGAAAAAAACTTAGTTTTATTTGTTATTGTTTGTTTTTTAAGTAAATATACTTGTATCAATGATATTTTATGTATTTGATATTTAATCAGAATTTTGTTAAATATTTGAAAAGAAACTTCGTAATGTAGTTACAATTAAAAATAATATTACCTGTTGGAAAGAAGATACAATCTAATGTGCAAAATACCATTGAAGTGGTATTTTTAAACGTCTTATGTACAACATGTATTGGGTATAATTAGGAAATTCACCGCACACAAACACATTCAAAATGGGATCATCCAACAGTCGAATCACTTTCATCTAATTCAAACATAATAGTCACTAGCTACGGTTAATTGGATGTACTAAGTCCAGAACGAAACCGCGTTTAAATAGAGCATAACATCCGATCCGTTGGTCAGCTACAGAAAAGAGTTTTAACTTGAATAGTCGAGTTTAAAGCTGTAGCCAATTTGACGGAGCATGATACCTCACAAATTAGCAGCCGATATTTACATAGTGAATGTTGTTCTGCCGCCCCGGTGCGTGTGAGGTCTGCGCTTGATTAGCGACACAAATCGTTAAACTCAATTGCGCTCATTTGCTGAATCACACCTCATGACACCACTGAATCACAAATCTCCATTTTGGACCGCAGTTCTCTGCTCACTGTTCAATCGGATGAGGGGCTGGATTTGAAATAAGTGTGGCTGGATCCACACACAGCATTCAAGGGCGCAAAATAAAAGCTATTTGAATAGGTAGTTACATTAACAAATCATTTTCTTTTTGCTTTCTCGTATACGTCATTTATACAGATATCTCAATTAATGTTACAAACTCGAATGCACGTAGAGAGGGACGAAAGTGACTACTTTTTCATAGAACATACATTGGAAATTATCATGTATTTTCCTTTTTTCGTATAATCCGAGTATTTTGTAATCCAAAAAAACAGCAGCCGCAAGTACCTCGGATTATCGCAATTTGCAGGTCTACACAACGCCTGCTCCCGCGGGCATTCTGCACTTAGGAGCTGACCGCCTGCCCGCAAGTGCCGAAAGTGCAAGGAGTTGGAGGAGGAAGCTTTGCGGGGAGGGGAGAAGACCGACGTTGCACGACGCGGCGCGTAGATTTGATGCCAGGCGTTCAATGAAGTGAAATCATTTTCCCACTTCTTTAAACGAGTGATGTCCCGTACAACGCTAGGCGAATGCCGGAGCAGTACCCTAACAAACGGGCCACGGATCGGACGACATTTTCCCTTCCGATTTCTTGTCCTGTCCTCAGGGGTCGTTCATAAAGGGGTTGGCCGAAGAGGGAGGCAACGGTCTGAGGCAGCGTTACATAGGAGTAGTGGGTGTAAGTTAAGAGTTACGTAACACTGACATTTATTTTTTTTTACATTTTCCAACGTTTGCTGAAATAATTACTATTTTTAGACTTGTACTAAAACATTAAAATATTAACTAATTAATTTTTTTAAAACCATAAACTAAAGTTATTAGTTGTAAATTGTTACAATAGAAATATTTTTCAAATTGTTTTTTAGAATCTGTAAAATTACGAAGAAAATATTGAAATATGATATGAAGTGTATTTTGGAATCCATATAGATTGGCAGTGTAGACTCTCGCTCTTGCATCATCCACGACGGCGTGTGAATAGCTTGTGATCAACCATTTCTCGCCCAAGCATCTTTCCTACACTCATAATTCTACCCAATCTTATTGTCCCGTGCAGCCATTGTCATGTGCATTGTAAACTAATTTCTACTTTAATGATTATACATTACTTTAATATGCAACACAAGCAAAATAAATACAAATTGTTTTACTGTGTTATAATTTATTTTCACTTCATGCATTTACAAGGGGGGGTTGAGTAATTATTTAGGGGTGTTCAACCGCGCGTTACGGGTGCTTGAGGGGTGAGGGGGTATTAAAAATCCTCCAAATTTGCATTACGTAATTTATGAACGGACTCTCGTTCCTAACTACACTTACATTTACATGCCCCGCTACGACACTTGTTGAGCAAGATTTGGGCAGTCGGGAGGTTAGCTTGTCTCAGCTGGAGAGGTGCCCTGTTTGGGGAGATACTTAGAGGGGAAAACCGCGAAGATACTAGCAAGTTTGTTATCTTTTCATGTTTTGTATTATTTTGCAGTGCCTTAGCAATATAATTTATTGTATCGTCCGTCGAACAAAAACTGCAATGTGCATTGTTGTCTTTTGAAGATCAATTTGAATGACTACTTCTGTAATCACATTTTAATAATTCCATTTGTAGCTCCGAAAATATTATATCTTCATGTGTCTTTCGAACACGTTTCTAGTTCTCCTACATTTCACTTTAGTGGACTTGGGAACTGCATTTAAAGTTCGCTAGTGTAAAAAGGTCTCCAATTTCATTTACCAACCGTTTCTTTTTCAGATATTGCCAACTTGAAGCATCAATAATGCGAATGACTTTCTGATGTCCAATAAAACGTCTCGCTGCCCAATATAGGCGAAATGAAGCCTGAGAAGGCAGCGTGTTTCTGACCCGAATCAATTTCATGACCTGCCTGCACTCCACAGCCGGTTCTGTGCCTTGCGAGTAAAATTTGCATAAGAGCTTTATTGGAATTTCATGTAATGGCAATGCAGATCTCAGCAGAAAACCATTGATATTCAAAACAGTTTACGTTACTTTGAAAAATAAATTATTTGCTTAGGCAAATAATGAACCTTGTCGCACTAAGTCATCATTAAACCCACAGGAGAAAATCCATTATACCCGCATTCTGTGAACATTCCTACGCAATGCTAACTTGAGAAAAACGATCTCATAAAGTAGGGGTTATTACAACCGTGATAATAAATGACAGCAATATTCAGGACAAGGGTTCCATACAAGTGGCGGGACAAAACCAAATATCCGTATTAATATTCATTATAATTAATACAACACAAATCAATTTCTGAAATACTTAGTTTAAAGTCTTTTCATTTCAAATTTTATTTTATTATCAGTAATATGTTTTAATCGCAGCTCTTTAAGGGAGCGCGGTTAGAACACATATTATTGAGGGATTTTAAAGAAACTTGGAGGTATAGTCCTTCTGGTCCCATCACCTCCTAGATGTCTAGGAGGTGTTGCTTCCCCACAAGTTACGTACAGGTTTTACTGTTCAGTGACAAAATAAATAAAAAAACAAATAAGGGGTCAACAAATGAAATTTTGTGTTTTGCGATTATTGTCACAAGTTGACACGTCCTATTAAGGAATAGAATTCAGGTCATCTTATATTTTTTATAGCTTGCTTCGACACAGTTCGTTCTCGGAATCCAACAGCGTGTGTGTTGAGTCCGCTGAGCTCCCAGAACTTATATGTGAGCAGTCTGTCCGTACACAAATCTTCCACGCCCCTGCCACAGAAGTAGGGACCACGGAAGTAGGGACCACGGTCATATCTCTAAAAGGTGGTCCTTATCTGTTGGTGGTATTTTTATCATATTTCATTTCTAATTAATTATTTCTTCTTACGAAGTAATATTCTAATAATAAATCCCAAAAAGCTTCGTAATCAACCAGTATTTAAGGGGTATTTTATTAATTGATAGTGAATGTAGTTGAACCTGACAGAGTGTTTACAATTGAGCTCATGTGACTATTCACGTTGTGTACCCGTATCAAGCGTCGCGCCCATGGCAATTTATTCCTTCTGCCTCCGCAGGTGTCGAGAGGGAGATACTCCGGACGCCGATGTGTAGACCGGGAGAGATGTCTCAGGGCAACGACTAATGTCACTGCAGTGCCTCTGACTGGGAGGTCCTAGAGTTACACTCCCGATGGTGGCAGGGTTTCCGACACTAGCTTGTCAGCTTGGTCGAATTCAGTCACTCTCTGGGGGAGAATTCTAACGTCAGACTACTCTAATCGGATGTTTCCGTGGTCAACATCAGGCGAATGCCAGAGTAGTACCCTAACAAACGGGCCACGGACCGCGTGCTATCTTTCCTTTCCCTTCCTTCTCCTATTCTCCCACTCATTTACACGCACGCTTACACTAATATGCACTCCACTACCGCACCTGCCGGGAGACCGGTCGGGAACTGAGAGCATGTCATATTTTGACTGGAGGCTCGCTGGAGGGAGGTACTTCGGAAACCTTTTTAGCTGACGGTAGGTCGGCGCCAGATCTCGCCATCAAAGGGATAGAACGACGCCCGCAATAAAACATTCACCACACTAACTGGACTAAGAAGCGTAGCGGTTCACGTCTACGAAAACAACCAATCAATCAATCAATCAATCAATCAAGCTCAACCCGGCACGTTTTTATTTCCACAAGTTTACGTAGGTTTCGCAACGGCACGTGTGCAGCCGGGCCCAGCCGTGTAGCAAAGGAGTTGGTCGTGTGCTCCGGAGGCAGGTAGCACGAGGGGTTCACGGTGCCCGGGCTGTCGACGACTGGGGCTGCTGCCGCGCTCGTGGCGACGCCGCTGATGGCGACGGCCCAGTCTGCGGAGCCGACGACGTCAGCCCCACACGTGGCGTCGGCGCCGACGACGCTGGCGACGGTGGCGGCAGCGGCTGCGGCGGCGGAGGGTTCAGGTCCTGCGGCAACAGCAGCATTAGCACAGGCACGCGCCTGTAAGAATGCCATCCTACCAACGTTTTTCGCTCTGTTAGCTTTATTACTCCACAAAGTCTCACATTTTTACATTCTCGTTACGGAATAGAGAAAATTTTGTAATACTGCGTGAAAAAAGGAGAATTTTCAGCAGACAAACACGTATTACTATTCTCTGGCAACGAAAAAGAAGATAAATTATGTTTCTAAAGTTAAAAATATCCTTTAAAACAAATGACGGCAAAAGCAATATTGTTCGTCCGTCCGTGAACAACGTTAGCGGTTAAACCGTTCAGCTGATTTCCTCCAAAATTCATATTCCGCAATCGATCTGGGTTATATCATGGTCCCTTCAATTTTAAACAAATATTTTAATTTTGGGGGTACTTGACATTAAGCCCCTGGAACATTTTCCAAATTTTCAAAAAAGCTTGGTTTTTCCACTTCTGGTTCACAAATAAATGGATGATATCGCTTAAATATTCTACGCTTGAGGGTTCGAACGCTTTGAACAAGAAAGCTCTAGTAATATTGGAATTTAAAACATTTTTCAAAATTACTAAATTAAAATTGCTGAATTTTGGATATTTCGAAAAAAATGCATTTTAATGAAAATGTTACTTGCAACATACTCTTCAGCGTCCTTTATGCTATACGAGTACAATGTTTAACCTCAATATTTTTGTGCGATTTATATTACAAACAGTTGAAAATGTTGAGCTGTATGTAAAGTACCCTCACAAATCAGAATATTAATTTGGAAGTCACAAAGTCTCGAGATTGTTCAGATCGATCGAGGGAAATCAAGTTTGGAGAAAATGCATGGGAAGGGGCAGAGGTATTTAACTCAAGTGCCTCCTGGTTCAAAAAAGGCCACGCTGCACGTATACCCATGCATAAGGACAGCACGCTTGCACGCAATTCTCTAATTAGTCTCTACCTGGGTTATGATTACTGTAATGAATGTGTTTCTTATTGTCGTTTATTTGTTTTGTGAATAAATTATTATTCCCACTTTCTCAAACTTGCTTAGTAAGAGAAGAAAAATTTGCACTTAATCCTGGGCAGAAATATGGCATATTTTGGACATAACGTTTGCCCATCGCACCGAAAAAGTAGATAAATCCTATTGCTATTTATAGTAATTTACTATCTCTAACTTCTGGTGAAGCCCGAATCAATATTTTGTAAATCCTTGATACCGAAAAATCGGATGACAGTGAAACGTCCGTTCGGCGGCCCACCTGTCAGTCTTTCAGGCAGCCTGTCAGATCGTCGGTCCGACAGTCTGCGTCTACATCAGAGGGCCTTCCGGTCTTTTAGTTCGTCAATTCCTTAGTCCAAAAGTCCGTTAGTCCGTGAGTGCGTCACTTCATCAACACAACAGCCGATTAGTCCGCAAGTACGCCTCTTCGTTTCGTCGTTTCATCGTTTCGTCATTTCGTCCGTCCTTCAGCTCGTCAGTTGGTCAGCACGTCAGCTCGTTAGTCGATTAGCAAGTGAGTCCATCAATCCGTCAGCAGTCAGCCCGTCAATCCGCCAACCC